TCATAACGTCCTGCGTAGAGAGCGCGGTACGAAAGCCAATGAGATTGAAAGGGAAGAGCTCGTTTTGTTCAATGTGATGGGAGATTCGGTTAAGGATTGCATGTTCCGCGACCTTACCCACGCAAGACGTGAGCGAGATCGGTCGGAGCGTGCCGAGCCCGAGAGGCTTACCAGGCTTGGGAATGAGGACGACAGAGGCCGTTCGCCACTCCTTCGGCACCTTCCCCGACTCCCAAACCCGGTTGACTTCGTCAGTTAGCAGCTCAATGGATCTATCGTCCAGATTTTTAAGTAACCTGTTAGTGATACCATCCGGCCCGGGAGCCGATTTTCCATTGAGATCAAAAAGGACCGCCCTGATCTCTGCCGTGTTGAAGGGGGAGTCCAGCTCCGCATCCTCCAGACCAGAGAAATCCGGGTAGTCTGCATCCGTGGTAGCCCCCAGGGGGAGGTACCTATCCGCCAGCTGTTGTAAGATTTGATCATTGGAGAGCCCAGCAGACCTCTCCTTGTGAATGAGCCAATCAACAGTGTGTTTCTGATTAGCTTTATTTTGCTTATCTCCCAGGAGGTGCTCGAGAATGTTCCATTTCGCCCCTGACCGCATCTGCCCATCGACAGCGTTACAGACATCATCCCATTGTTGTCTGGCCAGGGTTTGGCTGTACGATTCAATCTCCTGTTTGAGCAGAGCAATTTTTTTTCTGAGCCGCCTGTTGAGTCGCTGTGTACGCCATCTGTCAAGTAAGGAGTTTTTGGCTTCAAGGAGGCTCGCTAGGCGGCTGTCCATGCGTTCCGTGAAACGGGTAACGTTTGAGCGCATCGATATATTCAATGGAATCTCTTGCTGCACAAATTTACTATTTTGCAACCTAATTGCCGTAAAACGTGTGCACTGCGTCATCAAAGTGCTCAAAATTCCTGACAGTTGTGTTGCGGGTACAACGCCTCTCCGAAGATTTAATAACGAGTTGTTGTAAATACAAGTTCACTTGTAGTAGTTGCCCCAAGAGTGCTTAAAAAGGCTTTAGAAAGACCGCTCTTCCAGTTTTTGCTGAGACTTTGATGCGCGTTCCGCGGCGACCTGGCATTTATTTGGCTTTTTAGTTGTTTACTCCCGCCGCCGGTGTTTGTACCACTATCACGCAAAATAAATAAGTCGAAGAAAGAAGGAATGTCCAGAGATAAACGGTGTTCAAACCCGGAGCTTCTTCGTGACAGCCGAGTATTCTACCGCAGAGTCATTCCTGTGTTCGTAATTCATTCGCGAAAAAAAAAAGATGGCGCTATACAGCTTCACAACGGGAAGGAACGTCGTTTACATGTGTTATATGTTATCGTCTTTGTAATATAGCGTTGTTGAAAAGTACAATAACAATCAGTTATCAAACAGTGCGAATAGCGGAATGAGTGGGTCATTGAATGCTTGGGATTCACTACACAAGGCTCAGCCATAATTATTCATCGTCATGGGCCAAAGAGCTCATAACTTTTTACAGTGCTCATAACTACCTTAAAGTCCTCATGACTGCCTTACAGGTGAGCCACATGTGCCACACTTGTCTGCAGAATAGAGAAAATTGACATGGTAGATGCTTTCCTACTTCCCGAAAATTATGATGATTTCTAGCATAGTGGGTACCTAACAAGGGTAGTTGCATTTGTGGCCAAGGAAGCCCCTAAGTACCTGTAATTTGATTTCTCCGGACTAAAAATAAAGTTCTTTTCCTCTCACGGTAACGTATGTTATATAACGTGGTAATAGAGTGAAGTAACGACATATCTTTACAAAATGCGAATAGTCATACTAGTGGGTTCTTTGTAGCTTCCAACTTATTACAAAAGGCTAAGCCATAATCCTTCATCGTCATCTACCACCGCATCAAAAGATTCCACACTTTGCCTTACAGATGTGTAGCGTGCACCTCGCTTCTTTGGAGAATGCCGAATAAAAAATAAGGAGACCCTAAATTTATGTCTTTAGGAGTTGAAGGTGATAGCGACATCATGTTTCCAGTGCGTACTTCAAACATTGATTGCATGAAACATTTTCGAATTTGATATGCATCCACTACGTCGCCTTACAGTAGTAGGCGCAGTTGAGCGTGTGCCTTTTGTAGTGGGGTACAGGCTTTCGACCACGGAGCTATTATATCAATCGCACATTTTGATGTCCGTTGGCAATGAACAATATTTCATGTTGCATTGTGAAGCACGTATGCAAGACGCGTGTGTTCGGGAAGCATAAAAGCTACTTTTACTGAATTTCCAAGCAGATGAAGTTGTTTTCACTGTTTTCACAAGCAGAGGTCGTGTAATAGAACACTCTCTTGCCACATAAACGAGCCGGTTTCAATCCTCACTTGGAACCAAACAACCCTGGTTAAGCCCGCATTCTGCTGCACGATATTTTGTTATTTATTTTATTTGAATCGTTCTCAAATTTTCGGTCACACATAAAGATGATGAATTTTAGCTCACAACCAACGACGCTGACACTGACACCAACGCCGTAATTGCTGCGATATGAGCTATTTAACGATGTCGCGTTAATAACGTAAAGGAGGCTTCATAACATGAACAGAAATTATGATTTGTGTACGTCGCAAATTGGATTAGATTGGATAAACTTTTTTTTGGTCCTCCAAAACCCAGATCGCTGTTTTTCGGGCAGCTCCCACGTGGGACTGAGATACCAAGCTCCTCAGCCGCCTCGGGGGCTTGGTGGACAGCCCAGAGCTGATCTGCCAAGGACGAGCTGCGGATTGCCACCTCCCATCTGGCAGAGGTGATGTTCGATAAATGAGCAAATTTGGTGCACTGCCAATGTACTTGTATTATAGTAGCCCCACGTGAGTTTACAAGACGCTTAAGAAATGCCGCTCCTCAAACTTTCGCTGTAACCGCGCTGAATTTTGCGCGCAGGCGTGGCGTTCTTAACGCGATGTAGCGTTTAACAGGTCCTTTCACAAAAAGGTCTGGCGTCAGTGTCGGCGTCGTTGCTTGTGAACGAAAAAGCATCATCTTATGCGTGACTGAAAAATTCTCTATATTTAGGTCGGCATGAATCTCTATTAGATCTCATTATTAAATTGTCTAACTGAGTAAATTTGGCAATTTATTTGAAGCATTGACGTGGCACATCTTTCTCACTCTAAAGGCGGCAGACTTTCGTTTACGTTGCACATGCAAAAATTTTACTGGTATTTACATATGTGAAATACCCGCCTACATTTAAAGCTTCATTAGCTTTCGGGACCGAAGAAAAATGTATTGCTTGTACATCCCCAAAAATACGTATAAATGCAAAAAATTAAAATATGAGCATACGAAAAAAGCTTAAGAAAAGTTGTCTCACTTTTTTTCATGTCCGAAGGCAGCGCTCGCAGAGTAACTTGGCCAGCAGAAATACACGCACGGAGAAAAAAACAAGCGGTGACTTTCAAGTACTAGCCACGCTGTATGTCTACAGTCATTGTATCGCTCTATCATTGAATGAAAAAGAAAGCTTGGTAAAAAGAAGATTAGGAAGTCGCTTCTTTTGTACAAGGCAATTTGGCGTGGCTTGTCCGTTTATTGTTACGAATGAGGCTGCTTGCGAGTGGAAATCTGTATTTCACGACAGTCAGGCGTCCCGACGTCTATACGCACATCAACAGCACCGAAAGTGCGAGTATTGAGCCACCGCGATTTGTCTCATGGGACGATGCAGGCAACGCAACCTCGCGGCTTCACGTCCTGATGGATGCAGCCGCAAGGCTTACTTAAGCCGAAACCGTAAGCACATTTTGTATGTTTTTTGTCAATTCATGGCGGCCGCATCTCATGGGCAGCTAACGTGGTTGCTTGGGCAAGTTGGTACGATATTATTTACATAAAAACAGCGCAAATAATGAGGGACTAGAAAAGGAGGAGACAGACAGCGGCACCTACTTACAACAAGATTGTTTTGCTGGAACCACGCAATACATACTTCAGCAGTGTGTCACAAATAACAGGAATGACAACCCAATGAAAACAGAATTCACCTAAAATCTGAGTAATCATCGTGATAACGTGTCAGAAGTATGAATAAATTTTCTTCAGAATGTTGGCACACAGATGTTCATGGCCCGTTATCACGGTGATTACTCGGTTGTTATAGGTAAATTCTGTTTTCTTTGGGCTGTCATTCCTCTTATTTGTCAGATACTGCTCAAGGATATATCGCGCGGTTCCATCAACTAAATCTTGTCGTAAGTCAGTGCCACTGCCTGTTTCTTTTTCTTTTCTTGTTCCTCGTTATTTGCGCTGTTTTTATGTGAATTCATGGGCAGGAAAGGCGACAAAAAGTAATAAACGAGATCATGTTCTCCTAATGTGACGTATAGGCGAAGAAATTCCATGTGGTCAAAGTGAATTGCGAGTTCTTCAAATCGTTGTGCCTCGTGATATGACAGCGCATTTGACAATGCGACACCACTGGTGTGAGTTGAAAATTTGAGGGCGCTTCTTTATTAGACGATACACAGGCGTCTCGTTGATCTGTGCGTTAGCAACACCGTCACGGCAGCGGTGTATATTGAATTACAAACAGCAGTATCCAAATCGTTCACAAATATTAAGCGTGAATACACGAGGATGTTCTTTCGTATTTTTTAAACCTGTGCGAAATCACGACTCGTTGTAATCCGTACTTGTACTCAGCTAGGCTCAGGCTTCGTTCACGAGACACATGTCTACGCTGTAGGATGGTTGGTGTAGGCAATAGAGGCATTGAACATGTTATCATCGAAGGCAGTGTGCCAACACCTTGCTCTCAATTTAACTCAAAGACCCTTAAGCTCAGTTCGTGTTTTCATTCACATGATGTTCGTACCCTCAAGCCGTATTGAACAAACGCAAACAGCACTAACAGGAAAACTTGGTGGATTTCGCGTCAGATCTCCAAGCAACAGCAGAGGCTGCCTCATCACTGTAGAATTGTCGACAACTAAGAATTGAAAATCTCACATGAAAATGAATGGTCCATAAGCGGGTAAATTTATCCGTAATAATCGCGTGAACCACTTATTCTATGCACTTTTGGTGGCTGAACATTCTACAGTCTCTCGAATCTATAATGGAATGACGAACAATTTCGGGGCGGCCGTGAGGAAGTGTTCTCCTACGTCGTAGAATACTGCAGCGGCGGCACGCATGCGGCGAACTTGCCGACCACGTTGCCAGGTGGCGCGTAATTTGCAACGACGAGAATCTTGTTGGTGGGACCACGAGCCTGCGCGCACCCCATACGAGTCGTCTCCTTCCAGATGAGCTGCGTGAAGTGGCCGACAGCGTCCACATCCGGATCGCTACCGTCCCAGCGGTAATCCGAGATCTCGCTGTACCACGATTCGACAGCCTCGCGTCCTGCGCAGGCCAAAACGCTGGTCAACGCAGGTTCCAAGGCTTTTGTAGAGGACTGGCGTTATTAAAGTGTATAAAAAATCGTGACCGATGGGTGGCCTAGCACGTTATGTACTGTTCTTCGATTTATTAAAAAGCCGGTTCTAAATCGGTGGAGCTTCTGAGGCACACATATACTTTTTAGACATTAATGCATTGATTTAATATTACAAAAGACATAAGTAACCACGACGCTAACAACAAGTATTTGCTATATCAAACGTCTATACAGTGAAACCCAAAACCTTCAAACTGAGATCAATGCAATTATTTTTGTAGTGTTATCGAATAGGATAATCTACGGATATGCATCGAAACCCCGGGCAGCAAGAGGCGCCCCTCGAAGCTGGCTTTTCCTGCCAAGATCATGTTTTATCTCACAGATGGAGTCCTGGCCGCGTGCATTTCGAAAAGCGAGTGGTGCAATTAAGATGGCTCAGTGCGGAGCAACTAAAACCTACCGCTTCTAATAATGCGCATTCTCGCATGATTCTTTGTCACCGAGTGTATCGTGTGCTGCCATCACGGTCACCGTTTCCTTGTTCGCGAATATTCACCGTAAAGCGGAACAATTCGCGCTTATCTATGGCACCAGTGGTGACAAATCCTGTCGGACGTCCAGAACAAAACTCTGATGTCGCCGCTTCGTAAAGATTTTCTGAAAATGAACCGAGTACCATAACGAAAAAAACAACAACAAAGCTCACATCAAGGCCAAGGCGAACAAGATCGTCTCGAGCAGCCGCTGAATACGTACAGCTGCGAATGAATATGTTTGAGTGTTATTCAAGTCGATGCCGAATTTTTCTTTGCACAACCCGCCCATGTATGCGAACCACAACCCCCAACTTCAAAACACGCGAAAATGTAAGAAGATAAAAATTCCGGAGTGGCGCCGTGAAGCCAGCTTCATTGTAAATCAGTGGCGTGAAGATAAATAGCCGTATTTCTGCACCAAAAACAACTTGCAACCTCTTTTCACCCCCCCCCCCCACACACACTTGTAGAATACATCAAAACTATTTTTTTTTCTTTTTAAATAACTGTGCGCAGGTTATATTGTGTAAAAGAAGTATGGCCAAAATAAATTATTTAGTTTTAAAAAATTCCGTTGATTTAGGTGTAATGTTATGATACAGGATATCGTTGACATCTCTTTCGCGCACCATTAGTAAGAAAACTAAACAATGGTGTCTAATTCTACGACACGTATTTTCATTTTCTTCGCCACATTTTCAAACAGAGTATCATGGTCGTTCAATAAATCGTACGATGTGGCTGGGTATGCTATCGCGTAAAACTTTGTAATTTCCAGCAGCTTCTACAGCATTTGAACATATGCGATCACCTGTAATTTGATGATTGGGGTTGCTGGACCACTTGACGTACACATTTTCGCCGTATTCCGAGTCCGGGCTGTGTTCAAAGCGATCTTCTTTGGCGAGAGTGGTGGCCCATTTTTTCGCAATACCATTCAGCTGCAAAGATGAGCCGAAGGCGCCATGAGTTATAGTAACTTAGTATTGATGCACCACGGAACAACGCCTTTGCACGACAGAGTATTTTAAAAAACCACGGTCGCGCCACCACATGCAAGCGGACAGCGCTAGTTGCGGCCGCTTCTGCGCGCTGTGTTCCTTTCAACAAAAATATTGCCCAGGTGGCTCACGTGCCTGCTTGGTTCACCGCTTTCACAGAAAAGCTGTACGACGAAGACGGATCGCAACCATGCTAACTAACTAATTAACTAACTCACTAACTAACTAACTAACTAACTAACTAACTAATTATCTAACTAACTATCTAACTAACTGACTGACTGACTAATCAACTACCTGACTGACTAACTACCTGACTAATTATTTAATAATATGAATAATATTATAGGTAAATAATTCATTAATAAATATTACCATAATTACCAGCTGACTAACAAACTAACTGGCTAAATAGGTAAATTTATAATTGATTAAAAATAAAACATCAAACAAATAAACGAAGTACTTCGTTTTACGTGTCGAAAGTAAGCGCTTCTTGTAAAATCAACTGTAAGGTCCAATGATGAAGGGGCAATATGACTGCATCATCTAATCCGGAATGTGATTGGCGCCTCTAAAAATATACCAAGAAGCAATTGAGGAAGAGTTATGGAAAAAATTTCAAGATCCCACTTGCAGTGGGAAACAATGATATGCGAAGCGCGAATGAGAAATGTTGATATGTCACTTTAAAATCAGCACAACGCTACGAGGTGAAGGTAAATGATGCCGTACCATAACTTCTGTGTCATGATTATCATGTTCGGTTGTGTCTTTTACCTTCGTCATCTATTCACGTCACGTGATACCAAATTCAGTATATGTGGAGCTAGTGAAACGGCCGCGAGCACGCTAAGAGCGTGGTATGCTGTCAAGTTCCTACATGACGTGTGTGTCAGGATCATCATGTTTGCACCAGTCATATCTTTCGTCATCTATTGACGTCACGTAACACAAAAATTTGGTATATGTGGAGCTAGCAAAACGGCCGCGAGCGCATCATGAAGGGCCCAATATACTCAAATGCGGCGTTGACGCACGCGCACGCTGGGCACAGCGACGCAACGTTGGCAAAACGCGAGCAATTTACAGTCCGACGCCAGACGCGACCAGCGTCTGTCAGCGCGGCCCGACGGCAACCGGCTCGAAATGCGACGTGCTGCTTTACCCAGACAACACTGCCTCTGCCTCTTTACGTAGCGGAGGGACGCCGGACGCGCTGAAACGCGCATGCGTCAAAGCAACGCAGCGTGGCGTGCACTTGCGAGTTAGCAGGACCGGTGCCTGACGTCGCAACGCCGGCGTGACGTAACGAAATCAACCCCGATGAGCACGCGCACCGCGTCACGTCTAAATGTATAGGCGCCTTGACTGTGGCATGTAGTCACGTTGTTACATAACATGCATATCATGCTTATCGTGCTTGCACCAGTCACATACCTTCGTCATCTATTGACGTCACGCAATACGAAATTTGTCATATGTGAAGCTAGCGAAAAGGCCGTGAGCGCATCATGAGTGTGGCATGCGCTCATGTTGTTACATGACACGCTTGCCATGATTATCATGTTTGGACGTATCATTCACCTATTTCGTCCATTCGCATCGCGTAACAAGTTTGGCACATGTGAAGCTAGTGGAACGGCCGCGAGTGGATCATGAGTGTAGCATGTAGTCAGGTCGTTACATGACACGCATCTCATGTTTATCATGTTTGCACCAGTCTCATATCTTCGTCATCCATTCACGTCCCGCAATACCAAATGTAGTATAAGTGAAGCTAGTTGGACAGACGCCAGCGCATCATGAGCGTGGCATGTAATCATGTTGTTACGTGACGCGCATCTCAAGATTATCACAATCGAACCAGTTAGATACCTTCGTCATCCATCCACGTACCCTAATACCAAAATTAGTATATGTGACGCTAGCGAAATGGCCGAGAGCGCATCACTAGCGTGACATGTAGTCATGTTGTTACATGATACACATATCATGATTTTCATGTGAGGGTCTGTCGCTTGTGTTTGCCATGCAATCATGTCATACCATACTAATTATGCAACATGTCATGTGAAAGAAACCGCCGCAAGAGCAGCAAGACCATGAAATGTAAATCATGACATTCATGACATACATGTCTTGATTTTTATGTTTTGACTAGTCAAATATACTCGCAATACAGTCATGTTATGCCATACCAAATTTCGTATGGATACCGTTAGTGAAACGGCCAGGAGAGCTGAAAGTCGTAGGTGGCTAAATAGATAGATAGATAGATAGATAGATAGATAGATAGATAGATAGATAGATAGATAGATAGATAGATAGATAGATAGATAGATAGATAGATAGATAGATAGATAGATAGATAGATAGATAGATAGATAGATAGATAGATACGCTCAAAGTCGCCGAAGTTCGCCAAGAAATGCTTCGCATTTAAAAAGCAGCAAATAGCGATCCAAGTAGTGGCGTATTTTTCACCTAATGCCAAGCCTCATGAAGTGGTAAGACGTCTTCGTATAAGTTGATTAGCTGAGCAGACAATGTGTGCATATCACGCGCTCCAAGTATACCGTCGTACACTCAGGATCGTTCGAGATAAGAGCACAGATGCCAGTTTCATCGCCAAGAAGTGCACGCTACGGTGCGACGGTGGCCATGTCAAGCATTTGAAGGTCGTAAGAGCATTTATGCTACACTTGAGGTGTCATAGATAAGAAATGATTATTGCGACGATACCAATTCAGATAGCCGAAAGTGCCACCCTATATGGCAGAGAAGCTCATCCTTACGAAATTGTATCGATACCATAGCTTAGCGCATTTACCCATGGGTAAACTCACTCACCTCATTTGAACGTGTGAACGTGAGAACTCACTCACACTCATTCGAACAAGTGAGTGTAAACGTAATAGGGTACTCATGAGTGTGAGTATGAGTGAATACTCATATGTGTGAATAGGGTTTGGTACGATAGCTGAGCGAGTGCGAAGGCTGAAAAAATTGTCGCGAGTGAATTTGAGTCAGTACCCCGTTGTAGTGCCGACCTATGAACAAGATAGTTCAATATCTTCTAAGTTATTCACTATCTAAACTACTTCTAATTTTTTTGGCGAAACGCTACCTAAATTGTGTCTCACAACGTCCAGAATGTGGTAAAATTTTACCGTGGTTTTAGTTACAATGTGACAGGGAGCAGCGAGTGGCCTATCAAATGTCTATGACAGCCAGTTCGGTTGGTTGCAAGATTGCTCCCTTGGATGCACTATACACACCAACGACGCGCAGCCCCATTTTACCTTGGCGTCCAGCTGCAACGGAGGCACACCGTGCAGGGCGCGATAGTAGTTGTGCCAGTCGAGCGAGTTCTTCTGGAAATCTGCCTCGCTCATGGGCTGATCTCGTGACAGCATCGTCTGGCTGCCCGGAGTGATTATCTCCTCGACGATATCCTTGGTGCCATCAGATCGGTTGATGATTTTCTTGCGCAGCATAGAACTCTGCACCGTCTTGGTCTGTACAATGCGCCGTCCACGCTGGAAGGTGAAGAACGTCAGCGAAGGTCACCAGCAGAACTGGCTGCATTAGCGACGACTTCGAAAAGCCGTTTATGAACCCGCAATACGATCATCCCAGGATATCTTGCACAGCTATCATTTCTTCCTCTCATACTACCAGTCGCAGTGACCCAGCATTATGGTGATATCGCAGAAAAGGTTACACTGAAGTTAATTGGTACGAATCACTTCGGGTGCTTAGGACGTTTGCAGATAGAACGTTGCCCCTTTATAAATTCCCTCGGGGAGAATAGCGCCTCGTAAATTTTCCTTCACCACTCGTTCACTGTTACCAAATGACGTCAGTTGCTCGATCAGGTAGTCATATTTATACGCACATGCCAGCGAGATGCTGAATTAGGGTGGATATATAACCAAATCGTTATTCTCTGAGCTTCATCGACATTGGAAATGAGTGTGAAATTAAGCGAGCGTATCGAGGGGCTGCGGTGCTACGGCATATTAAGGTACTTTTGTCTTGGACAGTGAGGTCAGTGACATTGGTGAAGTGATATGAAACGTGACATATTGACGCTTGCGCTCGTTTTTCACGGGTTGTAACGCACAAAGCTATACAAACTGCCCACATCAATGTGGCAAGCCTTTTACGCAGTACTACATGGACGGACCATAATACGCGCACAGCATATTCCGGTATTGGTTGTTGAAAGATATCAGAAAAATTAAGCTTTATAGGAAGACCACGCTTTGTAGAGAAAGCGTGCTATATAGAAAAACACTACTATCTTCACTGTTCGAGCGTGTTCTGTGACCCCGAATACCTGCTTGCAAAGTGCGGGCAGAAAGTCTGCTGCGGGTCACTCGCGACCACCACACAAAATGCATATATACATAAAAGAAACACTGCATGAACTTTGCTTTCTGTGCGTTGGGGCAGTGCTCAACCTCCTAGCTTAGGAACGAAATTGCTGAGTTATGCTCAACTGTGCTCTTGCTTGACCATAAGAGTTAAAACAGAGAAACCCCGGCGCCGAACGACCGCCAATAGACATATAGCTCTCCTATACACTAACTGAACATATGCGTTGTTTATGAACGAAGGACGATGTCCGATCGACAAAGGCTGTCTGTGCTTGCTTTCCCTCCGCCACCATCAGAGTTCAAGACTGAGATATACTCGACATGGCTGACGTCAGCATACAGCATGCGGCAAGCACTAATCAAGCGTCAACACGCATTCACGTTGGTGTCTTGCATGCATGCTATCCTTTTTTCGGTGGCTCCTTAGAGTACGCGGGGCATTTAAACGTGAAGCGAGTGCACGTGCTTCGAAATATTGCATCGGCTCAGCAGCGCCATTATATAATAAGCGTGATGTGCGTGTGTGCGATATACACGCGAAGGTAGTTGGCCATAAAGTATTATTATTATTATTATTATTATTATTATTAATATTATTATTAATCTAGGATGTTACGTTCCTAGTTATCGATATGGTAATGAGGCATAGTTTAGTGAATTTCAACTTGTTGTTCTTCAACGCGCACCAAAATCGAAGTACGCGGACGCGAGTCTTTCGAGTGAGCAGCCGAGAACCTTAACCCCTGCACCCCGCGGCGGCCTAAGGGTGTTGCTCGTCCAGTACAACCACACGCATGATTCTCACGAATGAAGTCAGGCGCAATTTTCTGCGCAGGCTTTCCGTAATAAAAAAAACACATATCTCCCTCTAAAGAGAACCCCGAGTAGTAGGCGAAGCAACCATGGGTCGAGTTAATGTTCTTCAAAAAGGTCCTCTTTATTCATCCCCATAGCCGTTCATGGTTGCCCACACGGCCGCTTTCCGAGCCCTCACCTGAACCACACTCATGCGCATGTCTTCATTGATACTACTACGTTGTGTGTGTTAGAAAGAGAGCAGTAAACACTCTTTTTATACTGAGCAGCGCTGCGCTATTAGTGGGCTCCACCCGTAACAGAGCAGCGCCGCTGTGGACTGAGTGCTCTACCGCAGAGCCATCTAGTGGGTGCTCCGAGTACTAGCGTGACTACGACGTCCGACACAACACAAGTCCCGACCATGAGTGGCTTTCTTATGTAAAGGTCGTTGCTATCCTGAAAAATGCATGCACATGTCGTGCATGTCATCATGCGACTTATTTTTCTTTTCTTCGTTTAGAACAGCTAGTATCTTGTAACAGTGTGCGCTGCATATAAGAGCCTCCTTTAGAGACTGTTTAGTTTTGAATGTGTCAAAGAATTTCATAAAAAAAAGAGCTCGCGCTGGAATAACGGGTACTCACATCATCGAAACTGACGGTCTTGAATATTGTCGTTGTCGGGAAATTGTCGTCTAGTACCCCTGAAAGCAGTACAAACACACTGAGGTGGATAGTACACAGAAGCAATATTTACTTTTCTTCATTTATTTTCAAAATTTAAACTTTTGGTTTCTAAGCCAAAATAAATTGACGACTAAAATACGCGTGAATTTCTATTAGAAATTGCCTTTACCAACAACACCCAAGTGCAAAATGTTCAATATGTCATTTGTTTTTTTTTTCCTTTTTGTGTATGTTATATGACTATATATCGTCTGTTACAACGTCCAACTTCACTTGCCAGAGAGCTAGCAGTTACCTGCTCTAGTCAAAAATAGAATTTGGAAAAAAATTAAACACAAAAGACTCTTGTAAGTAAAATAAGCATATTGGTGATCTTTCAAGACCTCGCAAACGCACATTTACGCGATACTTTCACTGCGATGGTTAAACCTTGAGCAGTGCCTTATTACTGTGTGCTGCTAACAGCCAGCACTCGTGTACGTAGTACCCGTGCCTCATTTCATTTACCTGAAGTCAGTAAATGAAGCTACTTGCTCATGTTCCACTTCCACAGCATGCCACATCTTAAGGAGACCGAGTGTTCATTCGAGTTTCAAAGCGTCGTGGGTAAGGAAAATGTACTTCACATCCTCCTCAACCTATTCCGCAATGGTGCGTGCGAAGAGCTCAAGACGCGCACATCACCTGTCGTGACAATGAAGCCCAAGCCAGACATACGCAATTCGAAGCGTCCGAGTGTGGCTTGTATAGATTCGGCGCTATGCCCTCTTCCCGTAGGCAAACAGAGAAAGTGCGTAGCTTTGTGTTGCCGCGCGCTCACTCACTCTACAGGGGAGAGGGCGTGGCACCGAGTGTATGCGCCATGCGCTGACACGTAGCAACTCGTACTTGCGGTCAGGCCTTATTAAAGGTACCGCCATGATTGCCAAAAGGAATGACATGTCGGTATACGCTGCGCGAAGCTGAAGGTGTGTACAAAGTGGTGAAAGGACACAAGGGCAAAACCGTAAGTGCTTTGACTATTCTGACGTCTCCCACAGTGCCAAGAAATGGCTCCTGGGTGTGGTCACCCAGGTTCAGATTTATGTACAGGTCTGCTTTATTGTATTGTTAGTTCTAAGAGCTTTCTTTTTTCGCCTGTTCTATCTGCGCTTTCGTCCTGACAAGTGGAATCCAGAAACTACTGAAAAGAACTCTACGATATCTAGTAACGCCTAAAGTAGCTCATAAAAATATATAAGATAATACTTTCTTTTATTCTGTGCAGAGATAAGAACAACGTGTTTTTCGGAAATCTCAGGAGTACACTACGGTACCGATTGTCACACGTACGCGCCACCCTAAAATTAGTGGAGAAATTCACGAGCGTTTCAGTGAAGGCAGGCACAGATTTAGATGACTACAAGGAACCCTTTGAGAAGCTTAACGGCAATGCCGAGGTTTATAGTCGAACATTATCAGAACGCGTATTTTAACCATGGTGCTTCTGACAAAATTTCGTAAAAGTATGCATCACCTCACTTCTTTACCTTGAGGCTTGATTTGAGTTCATTATTAAGGCGTTTTTAATTACCGCTACTTATCACTACAATAATGTCTTATCATTTCTTCATGCAACGAAAGTGTCACATTTTGATGCTTATTCTGCTCGAAAAAAGCAGAAGGAAAAAGAAAAGGCAGAGTAGAAGTACTTAATGGTTGCGGGCGCTTTGAAATTCACTGAATGCGGGCAGATAGTTCTACAATAATGTCTTATCATTTCTTCAAGCAACGAAATTGTCACATTTTGATGCTTATTGTGCTCGAAAAAAAACAACAGAAGGAAAAAGAAAAGGCAGAGTAGAAGTACTGAATGATTGCGGGCGCTTCGAAATTCACTGAATGCAGGCAGATAATTATAAGCGCTGTTAGGTGAGTTCCCGGTAGTTTGCACACATACCTGTATGTTTGAGCTCAATGAACTCGAAAAGAGAACGCATTTCACCATCGTCAATACGTAGCATTTGAGTCGGCCAAAAACCTTCGTTCGCTCTATTTACATACGCGAAAGTATTCGCAACTGGACTTGGGGCTTATTTAGGGTGTCGTTTGTTGTTAAGCCTTTAGTGCATTTATTTGACGTTGTAATGGTACATGCAACTATTCTAGCCGAAATATTGAAAGTATAGTGTCGCTGTGCTTAAGCATTATTGCGTAGCTGAGTGAACGCATTCGGTTGCACTTGCACAGTGCGATCAGCTCGTGGCCACTAGATACAAGCTCAGGCCGAATACGATAGTATAATTCACGTGTATGCAGAATGTGACATAAAGTTCACTAAATCACCGTTCAAAGATCAGATAGGTACAGCGCTGAAGCGCATTCATTTCCAAACGTCAGATTCAACGCTCGACGCGGCTAAGTAAGGATTTTCGTGGGTTATTGCACGTACGAACCCATTGATTGTCACTGGCACTCTGTTTTGAATAACAGCGCCGAGTGCGCGCCAGATCCTATGCTTACCGCTCGGTGGGCGACGGCATGTGCAGCACTACATCAGCTTGTCAGCGAGCAAGCGCAGGTATTCGCTCATCGTGGTAGAAGGCCACGCTCGCCCAAGTGCCGCCGCTGCCGTTCTCCGATCGGCCGCTCACTTTCTTCTTCTTCTTCTTCTTCTTTGTGTTTTTGTTCTTGTTCGTCTATTAACTGTGGTGCACCCGCACTAGAGGAATTAGCCTAGAATTGAGTGGTTTCAAAATCTTGTATGAAGCTGTAATAACGAACGTGATACAATAGAAAGCACACACATTACATTGCAAATCAGCGTGATCGATCTAATGTTCTTATCCAATTAAAAATGTCCGTTCTGGCTTCTTCTTCTTCTTTCGTTCGTATCATAACTTATACCAAATGCAGCAGATTAGCCGAGTAGTAGATGATTTTTTTCTAGTATTTTCTCTAGCATACAATGTGTAGAAGCTTTAGTTTAGGTACTGTAATGAATTTAGGTACGAAATATTGCTACTCAAATATTTAAAGCGGGGAGAATATAGGTAAATTATCGTTTACACTATCTGATTAACACCTTAATTGCAAATAAAACAGCCGGCACGCGGTGTGGTGGAGTCAATGGGGCGCCCATTTAAGGGTTCCACCCAATGAGGATGGTCTTTAGGCCTATACCTAAATAAAGATTCCTTCTCTCACTCTCGCACGGTGACCTCAACAAAGGCACCTTGTTCCGTGAAAACATTATTTGTTTTTTATCAAGCGATTACTGTTTCAAAAATCACGCACCATATACCAATGAAATTTTGCACATAAAACCTAGAATATGATATTGATGACATCATAATAGTTATCAGTCTGAAAATATTTCAAAATAAATGCTATGCAAGAGCATAAAGATGTACAGTGTGTCTATAAATAATGTCACTTAATTACAAGGCTTTGAATGTGTGCTCATGATAAATGGGCTGGCAAAGTCCGAGAACCCCACGGTCAAGTTCTTGCCTGAGCAAGAACTTCAAAGGCTGAGACCATGGAGCAAGAATTCTGGCTACGTGGCTCAGTCATACATTTTCGGCAACAGGCAATGCCTCACACGTGAAGCCTCGCCTGGTGGCAAGGCCGGAAGGGCACTGGATTGGATTGGATAAACTTTTATTTGGTCCTCCAAAACACAGATCACTGTGTTGCGGGCATACCCCACGTGGGGACTGAGATGCCAAGCTCCTCAGCCGCCTCGCGGGCTTGGTGGACAGCCCAGAGCTGATCTGCCAAGGACGAGCTGCGGATTGCCCCCTCCCATCTGGCAGAGGTGATGTGCGATAAATGAGCGAATTTGGTGCACTGCCAGAGCATGTGTTATATTGAAGCTATTTCCCCACAATGTGGACAAAGATAACTTGGGTATAGGTCAGGGTACATGATGTGTAACATTTTCAAAGTAGGGTACATCCGCGTTTGCAAAAGCCTTAGTGTAAGTGCTTGGGGCCAGGTTAGATTTTTGTGAGGTGGAGGGAAAATCCTTCTAGACAGGTATAAATGTTTAGTGAGCTCGTTATATGTTGTAAGAATTTCCCTGTTATCCCCTTAACCTGTAGAACACATCCCCGGGGAGGCGCGGTTGGAGAGTTCTCGCACCGCCTCGTGTGCTGCTTCGTTGAGATTGGGAGGGGAATCGTTTATTTGTCCAAGGTGAGCTGGGAACCAACTCAGAATATGATGTGTTATGTTCTTGCCTTGCAGTATCTTCAGCGTTTGTTCACAGACCGTCCCCTTGGCGAACGCCCATAGTGCTGCCATGGAATCACTGTAGACGACTTCAATGTTATCCATCTTGAGTGCTAAGGCGATGGCCACTTGTTCCGCAATGATTGGGTCTTTCGTCCTGACCGTCGCTGAGTTGACGACATGGCCAGCCCCATCGACTACCACTGCCACAAATGCTTTCCGATTGGCGTAGGAAGCCGCGTCAACAAATACGACCCCTCGTTCCTTGTTTGAGACTTGACGAAGTATAGTCCTGGCCCTCGCTACTCTTCTTCCGACGTTGTGTTCTGGATGCATGTTTCTCGGTATAGGAGATACCGTGATAGTATCCCTGATGTTGTCAGGGATATCATTGTAATTGCGTCTGATTGCTATTGGGTGTTAGCCCAGCTCCTGCAGGATCATTCTCCCCGACCTTGTAGTAGATAACCTTGAAACTGTGCTCTCTCTTGGGCTTCTGCTATTTCTTCGAGCGTGTTGTGTATGCCAAGCTCAAGTAAACGCTCGGTGCTGGTATGTATGGGTAGGCCCAGGACCTTCTTGATAACTTTCCTGAGGAGCACATTCAGTGTCTCGGACTCTGCTCTATACCAGTTGTGCATTGCTGCCTCGTATGTGAAGTGACTTAGAACAAACGCATGCATCAACCTGATGAGGTTGTCTTCCTTGATCCCATTTCTTTTGTTGGCCACTCTGCGTATGAGGTGCACCGCACTGTCTGTTTTCCGAGTTAACCTGGCTATAGATTTGCTGTTAGTGCCGGTAGACTCTATCAGCATTCCCAGGACTTTGATGGAGTCGACGCTCTGGATGGCATCCCCTTGATTTGTACGGAGATGGATGTCTATCTGGTTTAACGGCTTCCATCCCCTGGGCTTCGGTCGCCGGCGTGCAGTCCGATAAAGCAAAAGTTCTGACTTACTCGAGGAGCACTTGAGGCCGGAAGGGCGAAGGTAGTCTTCTACGGTGTCAATCGCCTCTTGCAGGGCACTATCAATCTGCACCTCACTTCCACCTGTGCACCAGATGGTAATGTCATCTGCGTAGATGCTGTGCTTCAATCCTTCAATGCTGGATAATTTCTTTGACAGTCCAATCATGGCAATGTTGAACAGCATTGGTGAAATCACTGCCCCTTGTGGCGTGCCCCTTGCTTCTAGTTCGATTGCTGCGGTCTCGATATTTGCAATCTTCATCACGGCTTTCCGATCTGTAAGAAAGGACCATACGTAGTCATAGAAGGCTTTCCCTAGACCAAGCTTGGAAATTGCTTCGAGTATGAATGAGTGGTGGATGTTGTCAAACGCTTTTTCTAGATCTAGGCATAGAATGTCTCTCACGTCTCTGGTTTCATTGTCAATGACCTGGTGTTTGATAAGCTTCAATGCATCTTGTGTGGATAGCCCTGCCCTGAATCCAACCATACTGTGTGTATATATGTCGTTATCTTCCAAGTACTTGTTTATCCTGTGCAGTATGGCATGTTCTGCGACCTTGCCGATACATGATGTCAAGGATATTGGCCTCATGTTGTCCAAGTTAGGGGGCTTTCCTGGCTTAGGAATAAGGATCGTGCTGGCCAGCTTCCACTGCTCTGGCACCCTGCCTTCTTTCCATGCTGAATTGATCATATCCCTCACGGTTTCAAATGAATCGTCATCAAGGTTACGCAGGGCCTTGTTTGATATACCATCCGGGCCAGGTGCCGACCTGCCGTTGAGATCATGCAAGGCTCTTCTGATCTCCTCGATGTTAAAGTCGCCCTCAAGACCTGGATTTGGCATGCCCTGGTACTGTCTACTTGGTGGTGCCAATCCTCTTTTGATTGGGAGGTACTTATGCACGAGCTGCTGGACAACTTGCTGTTCTGTAGTGCGCCCTATCTCTTTATGCAAAATTCGAGCGATAACATGCTTTTGATTTGTTTTGGTGGTGTTTTCGTTGAGGAGATGCTTTAACATATTACATGTCTTGCCATTGCGCATCTGACCATCGACGGAGTTGCAGATTTCGTCCCATTGCTGCCTCGATAGTGTGCGACAATGTTCCTCGACTGATCTGTTTACCTCAGCTATCTTCTTCCTCAGTCTTCGGTTCAGGCGCTGACCCTTCCAACGGTTCAGTAGTGCTTGCTTTGCCTCAAGAAGATGAGCGAGCCGGCTATCCATTCTTTCAACCGGAAAATCTATGGTAATGGTGGAGGAGACGGATTTGATGTCATCTTTTATCTGTTTGACCCACTGCTCCAAGCCTTGTCTGTGGCCATCTTGTTCCCTTTCCATCCTTATCTTCCTGAACTTATCCCAGTCTGTGAAGTGGAATTCTTTCTGCTTTTTACGCTCCACGGAGAAGGTAGTGGCAAGAATGCAGTGGTCACTCCCAAGGTCTACAGCAAGGTTCATCCACTGGGCCTTCTTGATGTTCCTTACAAATGTAAGGTCCGGGGTGGAATCCCTGCAGTAAGATGTACCAAGCCTTGTTGGTAGGCTGGGGTCTGTGATTAGGGAGAGATCAAGTTCACTGGCACTTTGCCAAAGTCGATTTCCTTTCCCAGTGTTGTACTTGTAACCCCATGTATGATGAGGGGCATTGAAATCACGTGCTATGATGAGTGGACATTCCCCGGCGATATTAACAGCTTTCTTTAGAACCGTCTTGAACCCTTGCTTTTGTTCCTTTGGACTGCTGTATATATTAAGAATGAAAATGCTCTGACGGTTGCTGGTACCCGGCACGGTCTCTACCAAGACGTGTTCCAACCGGCCTGCTTCTATCTTGAGGTCGTGGGTTACGTGTGTTAGTTTGTTGCATACGAAGGTGCAGACTTCCCTCCCTTCAGTATCCCCTATTACAGGCCGGAATCCAGGCAACGTTGCTTGCGGTGAAAGGGTCTCTTGTAATAATATAATATGAGGCTTTTCTTGGCTGCTCCTGATATACTGCTGCAGGGTTGCCTTCTTTTTAAGGTAACCTCTACAGTTCCATTGCCAGATACGAAATGCTTCACGTAGCGCTGCCATCATGGTTATTACATGGGCGGCCAGAGCCTGATGCTGCACCTGTCGACAGGTTTGGTACCACTAGTATTGATGGCCGAAGGGGTGAGCTTGGTGCATGAGGAGGCCTTGCTGTGTTGTGCAGATATGCTTCGACCTTTGTAATGCGCAAAGTCATATGCTCTTCGAGTGCCGCCACGCTTGATTGTAGCCTACCCATCTGCTCGCTAAGATTGGCTACTACTTTGCTGAGCGTGTCAAACACCTCTTTCATATCTGACATGGTCGTTTGATTGGCTTCCACGTGTTCTGCCATGACTGCCCTCTTTTTCGTGGTTCTCGAGTCTCCCACGTTTTCAGCCACAGGGACAT